ATTCATGACCTTTTCGGGCGTCTTAGTGAGTGAACACAACACTTGGTTGTTATGAGGAGATAAGAAAGATCTGCAATCCAAAATTTCACAAAACAAACAACAACAACAACAAAAAAAGCATGATTTTTCAGGGTGCATTTAAAACCCTGGAAAGGTCAAAGGCGCTTCAAAAGAAAGCTGCTCCTTACCAGGCCCACCGGGCATCATCCCATGAGGCGGAGGCCCCATCATAGGCATCATTGGAGGGCCTCCCATTGGAGGTGTTGGTAGCATGCCTGGCCGTGGAGGTCCTGCTATGCCACAAACACAAAATATTACAGAGACACTGCAACATATGTGAACAGCAAGTTGCAAGATTTGCTAATATGTCGCTGTTTGATTAAAATGAAACTGCATACATTTTCAAAATTAAAAAATAAATACAAGAAGTATTAATTGGAAATATTTTTGACTTTAATTCGAAGGGATCTGAAATGACGGACTCACCTGGAGGAGGACCACCAGGGAACGGTGTGGGGGGAATCTTTCCCTGCTGAAAAGCAGCCGCTGTCGAGTAAGAAAGGCAAAATATATTAACACACTCAAAAGCATCAGACAAATGATTCATCGTAGAAATCATAAAGTACATAAAGAACACGTACTGTCACTAGCTTTTTGTGTCGAGATTTAATGTCATCCATAAACTACACACAGAATGCAAACAACAATAGAGCCAAATGCACGAGGCCTTTAACATTTCACCATTGCAAATTCATCATGTAATGCCATTGTCTGCAGCTGCTTTAAGTGTGGGTGCAGAATGAATGGCATTACCAATAAACCAAAACATTAAGGAGCAAAGAATGATCTTTTTGTTGCAAAGAAGCATTTCATCTGCCAAACGTCACATCCTCAGTTATGGGCCAAACTATGCATCAGCTTTGTGTGGATTAGAGGTTTGTAATCTCAGAGGGGGAGAAAAATAAACTGTGACAGAGAGAGAGAGGCCAGTGTGTGAGAAAAGAGCTTTGAAATCCCACATGTGGAATATGCAACAGTCTTTTATTGTCCACATTTGACCACTTGACTTAATATAGAAAAAAAAAAAAATCACTAGTACATTGCGAAAATTTCATTGGTTAATGTGCTTCTCCAATTTTCTGAACTGATTTTGAAATTCATTAGCTGCAAGAAATAAGTCACAATAAGCACATTAAGTGTTTCACATTCTATTCAACAAGTTGCTATATCATACAAGGTTTACTTTTTAAAATAAATCACAAACATTTTAAATTATCCTAAATTACTCACATGCATCCAAAGTGTATGTCTTAAATGTATTGGTTTGTTCTATAAATAATGTGTTTTCCTCGATGGAAACGTTATGATTATGGGGTGATAAATGGATAAGACAGCCAATTTGTGTGAAAAATTGAACGACGGATAAGAACATTGATTCAATTTTAAGACAAAATGACTTTTACTGTCTGGAAACAGAGAGAAGGCGGGCACACATAACTCACTTTGGCTAAATAAAAAAACAAAACAAACAAACAAAACAAACATTGACAAAATGTGTGCGTTTTATGAGATGGAGTAAGAAATGAATTGTGATCCAATTTAACTTGTGTTAGCAAAATCTAACAAAGACATATCAGATCTTGGCATCCTATTCAAGAGTACATACTAAATAAAGTGGATTATTTTAACTAGAAAGTGATGTACAAGTAGGGAAATGCTGAACATATAATTGGAAAGCGTAGCTTTTCCAGATTTATGCAAAGCATTTTAGGACAGAGTAATCCAGAAAGATACAAACATTCCCAACATGAAGGCCAATCAAGTCATAAATATTCTCAAATGTGTGCAACATTTTTCTTAGTTACTCCAGAAACTAACTTTAGTTAAAGTCCAGAGATGGACAGACATTTACTTACTTGTTTTATCAATCAAGCTTTGCGCCTGCTCCTCCATCCATTTCTGGTAGTAATCTTTCACATTTTCTTTGTGTTTTCGGCCACTGCAGTGAGTCTTCCTCACTGAAGGCTAAGACAGAAACAGAAAGGAGAGCTGGTTAAGTTTAAGCAAAATATTGTAAAATGTCCTAAATACTCAATGTGCTACACAAAGAAGGCAAAGGCCAGAGTACATTTAGCTTGGGTGAATGGCTGTTACAAGCAACTATAATTTTTTGGATCATTTTGCAACTTTAGCTGAGGTTTCTACTTAATAAATTTATGACTAATTGCGATGTGAAAAGAGAAAAAATCTATCATATCATGTTCACTTTCAGAGGACAGTTTTACATGAGTCAGATCAGCTTCATTTATCAAGATTGTGTGAAAAAACAAGGAACTTGACTTTTGTTTTCAAGGTCTCACAACATAATATGTATAATTATATTAAATTCAGAAGGAACAAAATAAGAATGAACTTTAAGACCACTCGTATGTTCTTCACATGATCCAACTTTATTGTGAAAACAAATATTCCAACTAGACATAAATGGTGAATAATTTATCCATCAATTTATGAATCGTCATGTAAAAATCTAGTCAACAATTTAGGTAGAAACAATTGTCACTTACCGAATCATGTGTAAGGTATGTATCACAATAGTCACAATAAAACCTGTGGAATAAAACAAAAAAAAAAATGTCTTGTCAATAGAAACAAATGCACTGATGTCTAAGTCAAAATTGCATGCCAATTTCCAAATGCACCGGAAGAAAGAGAGGACATAATTCACAACTGCATTTAGAAAAATTGACAAAATATTTCACACTTTTCAAATATACAGGCTGACCAGAAAAAGTCAGCTCTGATCAGTGACTGGCAGGTAATATATCTAAAAAGTAATATATTTCTTAATCATTAAACCCATCAAAACTCAGGATTTACATTACTTGTGGTCAATAAATGTCTCAACCAGCTTAATATTCTGAGATATTTTTGATTATATCCATATCAAATGTTTTGATATTTAGCTTAGAATACTTTTGGACTAAGAATTACCTAAACAACAACATTTAAATTAAATTATATATATATATATATATATATATATATATATATATGTCCTAAAATGTTATCTTTTTAAAAATCTGGCTTGTTTCTAGGGAATGCTGGCTTAAATGTACAGTTCTCGTGTTTCAGACTAGAGGATTAGAATCTTTCCTTGTTCGTTGAAAAAAATGTGAATGACTATTAAATATTACAAGATTAACTTAATACTGGGTCTAACCTAAAGGGCACATTTAAAAGTCCGAAATGAGCACCATATTTTGCACAAATCAGTTATAGAACTTAGATGCGATCGAAAAATAGCACAATTACAGAATGACTTGTGTGAAGATATATATAACAGTTGCTAAAATATTACAAAATAATTATCTCTGAAAAACTACTCAATGTATGTCTTATTGATAACGTCTACCCAATAAAGGTAGACGTTTCCATTGAGAGTCGTTCCAGCAAATAGACATGTCCCAAACAAAGAGAGATCACCATGGGTTAAAAGATTTCAAATGTTATCTTTGCATAGCTCGTGACTCGGTAAAAGTAAAACGTAAACATTACTCCGACTTAACTAAGAGAGATTTAATATCAAATAAATAAAACAGCATATTTATGAACTTACTTCGGCATGTTGTCCACAAGCTACGTTGAGAGCGCGGTTCCTGTGCTCCCAAAAACCTTCCCGACCCGCTATGAAGGCGGAATGCAGACAGTTCCGCTTACCAGACTGAAACTTCGCGAGAATTCGGTAGATTTTATTGGTAGATTTTATTTAAAAAAATAAAATAAAATAAAATGAAAATAAATAAATGCAAATGAAATAATGCCTTGACAAAGGAAGCAAATATGACTAAACTAATCAGAGAAAATGATTTATATTTCTTTTTCCCTTCTTTGTTTCTTTCTTTCTTCTTTTTCGTACTTTGTTTTTCTACCTGTCTTTTTTCACTTATTCATTCATTCATCACCAGATCCAAGTGGAATATTTGTGACATTATAATAAAATAGTCTATCATATTAAATACAGCGTTGACTTAAAAGCACATATAATTTACAATGTAAAAATATACTGTACAACAGAAAAAAAAAATAGATAATGTTGAATTGAAACCCTTTGCAACCTTCGATGGGGTTGTTGAATGTTTAAGATGAAAGGACAGTTTAATTAAAGTAACTACAAGACTGCAAAATTTGTGATTTGTGTGAAACAATGGCTATTGGGCACAATCATGTTAACTAATCAGAGCTCAGTAAGATGATGACATTGAATTTTAATAGACATTATCAAAGCAGACTTCATTTTATCATGATTTTAATGTAAAAGACTCTATAACATTTCTATCTACATGGAATAATGCAGAAACCAGAACTGAATGACTGTAACATTCAAATCATCGAACAACAGTGCACATAAATAAATAAATAAATAAATAAATAAATAAAATGATAATAGAAAAACAAATAAGATTCTGATGTGGAAATTACTTGTTGGGCTCTGAATTATCTATAAAATCTATAATCAGGGATACCTGATTTAGTTATTATTATTATGCAGTTTAAAAATTTTAAACACCTTTAACTTCAGACGGTGCAGCAGTTGTGTCTCATATACTTTATCTATTTTTATTAACATGCTGAGGATCCTATTTCTAAAATATATACTGGGTGCACTGTTGGCATCCACACCCATAACTGCGACGTCACTAAAGCACACGATGTCCAATTTTTACACTTTGTATTAGTATTTAAATTAATTTCATAAATTGTACCTAACTAAAATGTTCCAGACTTATGTCCACTGAATTTCCTATGAATAACTGTCAGAGTTCCAGAAGCATAATCTCAGTTGTTTTCTTTCTTATCAGTGTGCGCTGAAATATGTTTTACATGAATTTCATTGATAAACCAATGAAAAGGTGGCCACAAATAGCAACAGATGACGTTGTAAGTGACGCACGCACTGTTGCAACGTCAAACGTCGTCCCCCCTTGCTCGTGCCATGCGCACTGACGCTTGTTGTTGTTGTTATTGAACTGGTCGTTATGGCTGAACGAGGCCTCGGACTTAACTGAGAGAGGACCCCCGCCTCGGGACGACCCGCCATCCATGGAGGGCACAGACATGGACGTGGACGCAGAGCTCATGCAGAAATTCAGCTGCATGGGCACCACGGACAAGGACGTCCTCATCTCGGAGTTCCAGAGGCTGCTGGGCTTCCAGCTCAACCCGGCCGGCTGCGCCTTCTTCCTGGACATGACCAACTGGTGAGTGCGGGGATAGGTGGGCCTGTTGTTGGACAGCACCATGGCGCTAACTTAGCTTTTGGCTTAGCTAGTTATCTTATGTTAAAATTATAAAAAAAATAAAGTGCCTATTGTAGGCCAGGGATGAGTGCTGATGGTCAGTGCGGCACTGGTCATTTTATCCTTCCGTTACGGGAAATGGCTGTTAACTCTTAGTGGGCCATTTGAGGTAAACGGAAGTAAAACAGTAAAGTTTGCCCTGACCACGAGTTCTAATGCCGCGACAAAGTTCCAAAAACAATACCAACCTGGTTGAGAAACCTAACGTAAAAAATGAACCAATTTATACTCCTGGGTTAGGATATGTTTGTTGTATTATGTAATAGCGTGGAGAACTGCTCAAAGTGAGCTGTTTGTGAAACCACGACTCAGATTAGAATCAGTCGTGATCTATCGGGAGACAAAAGCAAAAGCAGCAGTGATCAAAACGCCTCTGTGTTCCTGATCAAATGATCTAATCAATGGACGTGATTCTTTGTGATTTCAGTCACTGAAACGTTTTAGGATGGTGTCCCTGAGCCTCCACACAAAAATAACAGATAATTTAGCTTTTCTAATTATTAAATATGCAAAGTTTATTACCTTTAGCACCTCTGGACAGTTCAGTCCTTTGGTAATTCGTTCCATTCCATATATGTACAATATCATTTACTATAGAAAGACACAACTTAGTTATACAGTTTTCATTTGTTAAACGCTGTAAATTGGCAGTTGAAATGCTATAAAATATCTGATTTTACTTACGTAACTTTTACTCAATGCATTGAAATGAAGAACTTCCAAACACATAGATCAACAGCATGTATTTTTCCAGCAAACCTTTAACTACAAATATATCAGGATTTCCATTCCCATGTTCTGAAATCGCTCTGGCTCTGTGATCTCTGTAGGTTAACTTGTATGGTGTGAAAGGAAAAAGGTGATCCGTTTGGGGGGTTGCGTTAGTTCTGATCTATAAGGGACTTGTGACTACCTCTTGTTGAGACTTAACACCAAGTTAAATTCAACTTCTTATGTTGTGTTGGGTCCTACAGAAGTTACAGCATTAGCAAGAAGACTAAACTGGCTTGAAAGTTACAAAACCTTCATTTAAAAATCCTCAGTGTTTTACATCCAGGTTGGTCTTTTATTCAGGCGAACACCTTGATCTCTGTAGTCTCTCACCCCCACCCATTCTTCCTGGATGTTTTCTAGTGTTATTTCCATTTCTTAAAGCCCTCAGCTGTGTCCCTGCCTATTCATATTCAAGTTTGTAACTGGTTTAACAACATATTAGAAATACAAAATGCATTAAGCTTTAGTAGTTAAAGTGCAAAATTTATTTGCACTTTAACTCGTTTGCTGTACTCAATGATTTAAAGATGCTTCACTTAAAGAAAAGTGCTTGTTATTTGTCAGAAACCTTTGCGTGCGAAGTAAAGCATTTTAGCAGTGTTCTCTAAAACGCAGCTGTAACTTCACTTGTGAACATGAGTTATTGTAGCAATTTGATTTGTTTAAAAACTCTAAGGGAAGCAATATAACACAATCCTCTTCCCAAAGATTTTGATAGAATGTTTGTTGGATATTAATGTATGTTAAAAATGTGGTGATCCCCTGCTTTCTTTTTATTATGCTGCAACAGGAACCTTCAGGCTGCTATTGGTGCATATTATGACTTTGAAAGCCCCAGTGTCAACACACCATCCATGTCCTTTGTTGAAGATGTGACAATTGGTGAGGGAGAGTCTGTTCCTCCGGACACACTGTTCACAAAGACCTGGAGAATACAAAACACAGGTACATGCCTTTTTACTACATCTTTAAACCTTTTTACAACACTAAATGTCACAAAATGTTTTTCTTAACTTTGTTTTTTGCTTTATTTTTTTTTCTTCTCATTTGTAGGCGGAGAGTCATGGCCGCCAGGTGTTTGTCTGAAATACATTGGAGGGGATCAGTTTGGGCATGTAAACTCGGTTATGGTGAAGTCTCTAGACCCCCAGGAAATTTCAGATGTGAGTGTACAGATGAGAAGTCCTACAAACCCAGGCATGTACCAGGGCCAGTGGAGGATGTGCACAGCAGCCGGGTTGTTCTATGGAGGTAGGAAAAACTGCAGAATTTCATTTCTAAGTCTGAGTAGATATTCCTTTACATTCTCATAGCCCAGGAATGACAGTACATAAGACACATACACATTTTTTTCCCCTCTAACTGTTTGAAATTAAAGCTGACCAAATTTCTTGTTTTAGATCAGTTAGAATTACCAAAATGATTTCCATTTACTAAATGCTACAATAACTAAATATTAAAGATCTACCGTTGCTGTATCAACCTTCCAGACCCCTCAGGTCTTCTGGTTCTGGTCTGCTCTGCATCCCCAGAACCAGAACCAAACGAGGAGAAGCAGCATTCAGCTTCTACGCACCACAAATTTGGAACAAACTTCCAGAAAACTGTTACACAGCTGAAACACTGACTTCCTTTAAATCTCGACTGAAAACCCACCTGTTTAGAGTTGTATTTGAAACGTAATCAATTTAATGATGGCACTTGACTTAATGTAATGTTTTGATTGTTGATTCTATGTTGCATGACTTTGTGTTTTTGTGTTTGTTATGATGTAAAGCACTTTGAAATGCCTTGCTGCTGAAATGTGCTATGCATTTGTGCTATACTTTAATTGATTGAATAATGAGATAGGGAATTTATTGATATCTGCATAATTAGATATCAATAAATATCTAATTTATTGATATTTAGTATGGAAATATCAATACATACTGAGTTGATAACTCAACTTAGTATTGAGTTAAATTAGCTATAGGATTGACATCAAAGTATTGTGATGACCATGCCAAAACTTTCACTTTTTTGTCCATAAGTCACTCTGTAACCACTTTGGCTGTATGCTTATGGCCATTGTCCATTTTGAAGACCAGTCTCCACCCAAGCTTTAACTTGGCTAATGTTGTTAGTTGTTACTTCAATATTTCCACATAATAGTTTTTCCTCATGATTCCATCTATTTTGTGAAGCACACCAGTTCCTCTTGCAGCAGGGTGCCTGGGCATCTTTAAACAATCTTCATCTATTTAAAATAAAGGCCTTAAAATGTCTTTAAATTAATAAAAACAAGTAAGTTGGCCTTATTGATATCTTTATTGATAGTCTATCAGAAGGTTCATCATCTGGGTTTTCCCTCATTAAAGAGACAGTACTTATTCTGTATGTAAACTTTCAATTTTGAAGAAATGAAAAGAAAAAAAAAACGTATCTCTGACATCTTCTTTCTCTCATTATTGGATTTCAACTATACGTCCTTGTTTCTCCAGATGTGATCTGGGTGATTCTTAGCGTAGAAGTCGGCGGTCTACTCGGCGTCACTCAGCAGCTTTCTTCCTTTGAGACGGAATTCAACACGCAACCGCAGCGCAACGTGCAGGGGGATTTCAACCCGTTCGCCTCGCCGCAGAAGAACAAGCATGATGCCACTGACAGCAGCTTCAGAGACCCCGGAGGAGCCTGGGAGCGCACACAAGAGCCAATCCAGCAAGATCAGAACGGACTGTCTCATAATGCTGTAAATAGGGCGTCAAACGGTCTCCAAACAAATCTTTCTGTGGTAACTTATGGCCAGGTATGTAAGTTCCAATATAAATACTTTTAATATCTTTGAGTGGGGTATGTAAAGAGTTTTATTTTTCTTCCAAATGCAGATATGCTGAACTAGAACAGTGATTATTCGGCTTAAACCCAGTTTTGGCTAAAGTTCTGGCATATTTTCATTAGGAATTCATATTTTTATTGCCAACACAGAAAAACACAGAGGTCATATGGGTTGAAGGTGAAAAGGTCTGGTTGTTTACATGACTTATTATTCCCTCTTTTTGCAAGTTTTCAAAAGACACTGCAAAATCTGCAGGACATCTTTGACAGTGCACCCAGCATTAAGATAATTTTTAATGATCATTTTTAATGATCTTAGTGCTGGGTGCTTTAACAAGCAGAATTTACTACTGTTAAGTTGATTATATCTATCTACGTGTAGCTGATTATATCACAGACACATTAGACACACAAAACACCTGAAAGTCAACCTGCTTTAAATTTTTTAAGAGTGAAGAAGTCCGCAAACATTTTATTAACTAAAAGTTTAATTATTTTTCATTACTTCCTTGTCAGTTAGTACCTGTTGGAAATGGTAAAGGGCTTCTTATGAAATTTGTCTGTCTGTGTAGTAAAGACAAAAGATATTAAATTGCCTTTCATTCTGAGTTACAAAGTGGTGGTTTAAATATTGCCACTTCTCTGCTTGTAAATGCTCTAAACTCAGTTTTTAATAGTGTGGTAATCGTGTACATTTTTAATGTTAGTTTTATGGTCTAACTAAACATTCTATATTTTATCAATGAATCAATAATTGTTTAATCCCCCTAAAACTGACTACAGACGTTGGCCTATGATATGAATGTGCGTTTCATGGTTCAAAGTTTTGATGGAGAGAAAGGCAGAGCCAGCTGTTACTGTGGTAACTTAAGATTAAGACTAAAATATTCAATATTTTCTCTCGATTTGAAATATCATACAATTCTTAGGCAGTTCATACAAGAAGTAAGAGCAAATTAAACTCTTACTACCACACACTGATTCGTCAAAAACACATGACAGGAAAGTTAGTTAGATGTTGCTAAGCAACATTTCCACCAAAATACTGCTTGTGCTGCTTGTGGTTTAAGGAAAAAACTGTATTAAGTCATGCAGGTTGGGAAAAACATGCCCAGCTCTTGCAAATACACAAAGTCACTGAGTCACAGACAGTCAAAATCACTTCTTTGTTGCTCATTAAACCCTTTGCATTTGTCACTCCACTCATCTGTTTTATCCAGGATTTTGGGACTCATTTTGTAATAGTAGAATATAGGGCTGGGCGATGTATCACATATACTCGATATATCGCGATATTTTCTATTTACGATAGTTAAAACGGCTATATCGCAACCATAGAGTATAAATTGTCATTCAAATAATAAACTTCAAACTGACTGCAAGTATGGTTTATCCGACACCCTATGAATGTATCACTAGTCCCTCCCCCCACCCAACCTGAAAATTTTCTACCAATCATGCTGCACAAGAAGGAGGTAATTAAGCCATTTCATTCCAGTGTTTTGTACCTGTGGCACATCTAAAAACTGCAGGACAGTGGCCCTTGAGGACTGGAGTTTGACACCCCTCAAAACTACTCATTCTTTTATTTTCTCGCTCTCTGTCACTTCATGCTACACGTAGACACATTGCCATAGCAACTGACAACAACGCAACTTTATGTATCAGGATTCAGCACCAAAAACACTCAAACATTACCCCACATAGAACAGAACATTCAGTTTGTTACAGTTTGGGGTTTTTAGGCTTGGTGTGTATTTTGCGATTATTAAGTGATTGCTGTGGTAGGTTATCCACTGTTGCTACTAGCAACACAGCAGTGGTTGATTAGCTAATTTAAACGCCTACTTTTTATTTCTAAGCTGAACTAAAACATTATTCCACAGCACATTTAAGTTTGTCAAAGTCAAGCATAGCTGACCTACTTCCCTCTCCCTCGCTATTCTTTGTTTCTTAGTTAAAACTTATTTCTCACCTTGTTATCTAGTCATAGTCCAGATATGCTGCAAGGAGTAGTTTAAAATAACATTAGAGCTCATTTAAAAATGTTGTGACATATAGTGTATTGTGATATAGCAAAAATATATCAGAATATTAGACTTTCCCCATATCCCCCAGCCCTAGTGCAATACTATTATATTGTTTTTTGCATACGGTTTAGAACAGCAACCAATGATTACACTATGCAATCGTTAGTTGCATAATGATGACTTGCATGACTCACAGTGAAGCATTTAAGACATAGTGTAATCGCCTGATTACACTATGTAACACTATGTAGCTTGATTACAGTTATCAAGCTGATAACTTACAACTACAGAAAAGAAAATGTTGTCACTAGGCCTGTCATGATAACAAATTTTGCTGAGCAATTAATTGTCTAAAAAATTATTGCGATAAACGACAATATTGTTTCAAGACCTTTTGACACTGATGGAAATGGAAATGACTACTAATGCATGCGATTTGCTGCCATACATAGATGCACTTTATTTTCAAAAGAACACATAACACTGGAACTGATAAACTAAATAAACAAAACAACCAAAAACAAAAAGGATTCTCAGTCTCCATTAACAAAAAACGTACTTGAATAAAATCTAAACATAAAGCCAAAGTGGAAACAAATACTGCATTCAACCAAAAGAGTGCAGATATGAAGTCTGTATACTATATTGGCCTTCAGTAATCACTAGATTTAAATAGAGAAGATGGGCACATCCGACTACCTAATGCAGTAGTTCATACTACACGATTTTTTGCCCCTATTTTCTCCTTATGACAATCTTAGATCGTTGGCTGATCTAAGATTGTCGCTGGTGATTTCGTAACCGATCATCCTGCAGTGTGTGGTGTGTTACGGTAGATCGTGGTGGCCGCTCCGATCTAAATCGGGGTTTTCCCCGACTGGGAGCATAAAGCTGAATGTGACAGGTAGCCAATCAGAAAGCGCGGATTCACCTCCATGCTTTCTGAGGGGAAATTATGGAGGGGAATCCCAAACAGCTGACACGGCGCAACCCGATGTCCAGCGGACATCGGAGATGATATGTGGAAACAACATTAATATTTATTAAACGTTTCGTGCAAAGAATATAGAAATGACAAGGAGAGGAGTTGGAGCCAAATTGCTACCGCAGTTGATAAACCCAGTAAGTTTTCAGCTGTTCTTCGTTAACGTGACATGAATGGGTTATAATGATTTTCATTCAGTCAGGACTTTACGCTGACTCTAGCCACATGCATCACAGGTAGATTCTAGTAAAGCATTGATTAATGCCTGGTTTTAAAATTAGTTAACTGGACTTGTAGCCATTATTTTGTGCCCATGTGGCTGGACACCACATGGCACGATCGAAACCGATAAAACAGTTACCTAGAGTTTCTGTCGGCTAATGTGTCGCTCAGGTTTTGAAAATGGTCCGACAACTTGTGGATTGTGCGCTGGTTATTACACTAAGGAAATAGGAAGGGAGGGTCAGTGGAGAGCACCGGAGCTGAGCCTTTTTTCATTCAGTGTCATCAACAGAAAGAAAAAAAGGCAGGAAGAGACAATAAAGCCGATAATTAAAATGAGGTCGATAGGTTTAATTTATCGTGTGATTAATTGATATATCGTTTATCGTGACAGGCCTAATTGTCACCCAATTCTGCTTTGCTTAAAGAATAGACACATCTGTAAAACTTTGTGGCCTCTTCCCTGAACAACTTGGTCAGGGCTTTTATCTTTTTTTTATTTCAAGGATGCTGAAGGTTGTGTCTGATGGTTTCTTGTAAATCTGTGTGTTGGACAGAACAGTGTGTTCTTTAACTACCCCAAACCTTTTTGTACAAATTCCTCTGGACATTATCCTAAAGAAGATCAAGTTCCTACAGTCACAGACATGGAGAGGCTCCTCTCACGTGATACTTTTGATTTGTACTAATTTATGTCAGTAAAGCAGCTCCTGATTTCTTCACAAAGAGCGTGTGAAGAATGGTATTAAAATACATTTTTGCAGCTGTAGCATCCCATTTCAGGTCAGAACTGATGTTTGATCTCAGTGTTGAGAGTCCATATGTCAGTCAGCTTTTCTCTACTTTTAATTACCCACACACTTATCAGATGTTTAATTAGTTATCAGGTCTGGGTGCTGTGGTAGAGCAGGGGCAAAGCACAACCCATGTATTGAGGCCTTAGTCCTCATGCCGGTGGTCGCAGGTTCGATTCCCAGCCTGGTGACATTTGCTGCATGTCTTCCCCTCTCTCATAACCCTCTTTCCTGTCAAACTACTTTCAAATAAAGGCCAATAGAGCCAACAAAACCTTAAAAAAGTAGCTATCAGGTCGAACTCTATGCAATAACAGCGTTGGATATATCAGTTCCCACCAGTTTTTATTATCCAGTATGTATTTTGTGGTTTTATATTTTAAATTAAGCTACCTGTGTATCAAAACTTCTTGCTGTCTTTTGCAAGCATTGCACTGGCTGTTTACGAAGTTATGAGTGTGTGCTTGTGTTATCTGTATTACTACTATTCTTTAATTAACTGTCAAACCTACAAATTGCCTTTTGCAGATTCTAAATCATTTGTCACTACTGTGTGTTTTGTTGAGGTGTAATATTATTGAAAAGTTTTTGAACTGATAAATTCCTAACACACAGAGTGATATGTTTCGACACGCTACAACATCTGTAGCTCACATTTTATTCCCAGTTTCAGCTCAGAAGTTTCACTGGGCTGGTTGAACCTAATTGATCAAAACCTTTTGTCTTTGTATTAAAATAAGCATGACAGGTTTTCCTACAGATGCTACTCTAAGCCAGGGGAACACTAAAAGTCATAATAGGCATAGGGTTGGTACATAAATGTCAAAATAAAAACATAAAGTGATATGCATTCTCCATCTTTTTTGTTCCAGGGTATTCATGGTCCCTATCCGTTTGGAAAGAGCTAGAAAGACAAAGACCCCCCCACCCCCATGATGAAAGATGAGCTCTAACATCATGGGAATCCTTAAGAGCAGAGGAGTTGGAGGGGGGAGGAACTGATATTTTCTTTTTTTTTGTTGTTTTTTTATGGACTCATGACAACTCTCCCTGAAACCTTTATGGACCTTTCAACAGACAAACAACAGTGACCTGATGGGTCACATGTACTGCAGTGAAACATCCGACCTGACATGGATTCACACGTGTGAATGCTTCGTTTAAGAGTGCTTTAAACCTCTAAAGATGGATACACAATAATATTTTTATTTTAACTTGTAAGACATGCCTAATTAAGGAGAAAATCCCCCTAAAAAAACCCGACATGCATCTGCTACTCCCATGGGCAGCTGAGTCTCTCCTTTGAATTCTCAAAAAACTGTTTAATATTATGCTCAAGAATTGGCAACAATAATGTGTCATTTTAAGTGTTTTCACATGGGTTAAGACAACAAAGTATCTTTTATAAGCAGCAACATTCTAATTTTATTAAACTTTGATTGAAAAGTTGTTTAGTAGAAGTTCTCAACCATGTCTTTTGTTGTCGTCCAAAAGCTACAGCATTCTGATTTGGTGACAAATGAAGGGTTAGTCCATTAGTGAAGCTCAAGACAGCCAGTAACTGGCTTTCATCATTTTAAGTCTGCCATTCTTAGTTCAAGTGAAGTGCCCATTTGATCTTTTCAAATTTAGCCTTTAGAGAGAAAATCTTAAGCATATTTGGCCTGTTTAAGCATTTTTAAAATGGAGATTAACAAATTTCGTTCAACATTTGCTGATCCAATATGTGACCTTTGAATTGTAACACTTTGGTTGTGTAGATATGTTTTGATCTGAAGGAATATGTTTTTAATTAGTCTCATACATGAAGATTTTGGCATTTCAGTTATTGTTATTTCTTGGGAAGGAATCAGTGAAAAACTTCCCATGCTGCAACACTAAACATTGTCACACTATCTAGGATCCTTATCAATGAGCTGGTCTTCAGTATCAGTTATTTTGTCTGTATATTCCTAACTACTCCCAAAGATACAACCCAGAGAGCCAAAACACTAACTATCAAGCATCACAATGTGATTCTGCCCAGTTCAGTTTGCATGGGGCAGTGTGCGGTTTCTATGGCGGGTTTTCACCTTAAACAGATGCTGAAGTGCAAAAAGGATGGAAGTGAGTGAGTGGGAAGGGTTAAAAAAGCCATTTAAATCTATTTTGCCTGGTGAGTGACTGTAGTTTGAGTCCATGTGTACAGGATGTGTAGTAAATATAAAATGTATGCGCGAGCTTGCCTGTTGTGTATGTATCTCAATGGTTTCTCCCTGGATTTAACTGACATAAAAATAGTGTATACTACTTGAGTAAAGGATGAATGGACACATACATGTCATTATAGAGAGAGCTTTAAACGTAATGTACCTCAGAAGTATTTTTTGGGTGATCTATTTGGATGATTTTGCCACAAGTACCCTGATGTTATTTATTTCATGTCTTTTTGTGCGCTGCAGAGTCAAAAATGTCCCATTGACGGCCAGGAGGTGGTGCTAAAAATCAAAAGACAAACTTGAGATCATGATGAGAACCAATTTAGCTTGAGCTTGGTAGAACATGTTAATACTAGTTATAATGATTTGCATCAGCATTGTTAGCACCGGTGATTTATTTTCTAATATTTGCACTATACTGTTGACCACCTCTGCTGAGGATTTTTTTTTATAGAGTTGGGATGTGACACCAGCATTTTCCAAAAAAAAAAAAAAAAAATTCTGTTTTTTTTTTTTGTTGTTTTTTTTGTTTTTTTTTCTAACCCCGTCTCCATTTTAGGACAGAAAGGTTAAAAACGACAGTTTGATTGCTTCACAGAAATATCAGATGTTAGAAAGAAAAAAATAAACTTGCCTTTTGTTTCGATCACATGAATGAGCTTTGCTGTTACACCTGAAGCTGTACTTTCAGTTTTAAAACGTTCATCATGTTTGTGATTTTCATGCATGTTTGAAAAAAAAAATAAAATGGAAAAAAGTTATTTCCAGAGCCCCACAGTTGTTTATTTTTACTATTATTTTTCTCCAAACTGCTGGCACAAACTTTTACCCATAAAAATTATTGTTTTCTCATAGAGTGTTTGCTGATTTGTAAACTGAACCAGCCTTTTGCAGCTCTGTTGTAATTGTCACAAGAGTCCTCTTCCCAAACAGTATACAGTGTTTTTCATTGCCTCTGTTAGTCACAACAGTTTTTGTTTTCTATCTAACTGTGTGTACGTGTGTGTGTGTGTGTGTGCGCGCGCGTGCGTGCTTCCTTATTGTGGGATCATGTGTGACGGGCGGTTGCTAAGGAAGCTTAAATATTGCTGGATTTATTCTTTAGTTTCATTTTTGTGACTATGTATGGACTTGAGATGGGTGGCATGGTGAGCGGATGTGTTGAGAGTTTACTTAGACCTGAAATAGCACATTTATGTCGAGATGAAGTTGTTAAAGTTTTTTTTTTTTTCTGTATCTATAAGTAAGCATTTTTATGATTAAATTAACACTAAAACAATGACTAAGTGGTCTTTTTCTGTAGTTGTGTAAAATGTCCATAGATAATTTCAAACTTTAAAGATTAACCTCTTTTATGATTAGCATTCACAGTGAACATTAACATCTGCCACCTACTGGAAAGGCAGTGTAGGTTTACAAATAGTTCCTTGGCATACAGACCCATTCAATAAACTAGAATACAATTGAAAAGTCCATCAATTTCAGGAACTTTATCACTAATTAATACTACAATCCTGACTGACATTCTAATGTAACTGGAGCTTGATCAGTTGAAAAGAAACTGCAACCCAGTTTGGAGCAGACATAGCAAAATATAACATGCCAGCACTGACGTTATAAAATGTCTCTTTGTAATATGAAGAAATGCTCTCAGTGTTCTGTTTTAGCACTCTGTAACGGCACCTTTAGGTTTTTATTCACATTTTTTAGCAGTTCTTCACTTTTTGTGAGACTATAAATTCCCCAAACATCCCAAGAACATTTTTTCTTCTGTTGTGCTGCAGCAGGCTGATGCAATTTAGTCATGTACAGTGAAATTGCAAAAGCTACACAGTTAAAAAAAAAGTACAAAAAAAACAAACAAAACGTATTTGCACAACAAAGCTAAATGCATACCATTGGTGGACAATAGAAACAAGTGAAAACACGTTTAAGGAGCAGAGATGATGTGACACTGATATCTGGGATGCCAAACAAAACCAAAATTGTCCAATTGATTGTTATTGCATAGAGAGATATTTCTTTGCAAAACTGAGTCATAAGAGGGGAAATGAAGTAGATCCATCCAGAGATAGAAAAATAAGTGAATAGAAAGGGGATGTTCAGTCGTAACCAAAGGCTTTTTCTGCATTGGTTTGCATTTAGTTCTCCTGGAGGCTGAACCGAGTTACTACATATGTGCTGTGAATAAAATCATCTTAAAGCAACTAGAATAATGATGAAAATATAGAGGTTTTTGAGGACATTGTTTCATGAACAATTGAAACTGTGAAAGTTTAATTGCTCTTTGGACCTTGCACCCATTTATCATGTATGCCTTGGGGTGGTTCTTGTGCAGGCCGTCAATAGGCAGTAAATTATTTGCTTGTGAAGGAGAAGATGGCATGTGCTGAACGGTAATAAAGAATGTATCTATGCTGTCAACAGAAACATAGTGGAAGGGCCATTAGTTGACAGTAATACTGTTGATGCATTACTCAGCATTACCCACAGTGCATAGAGTGTGGGTTGCATGTGTGGTGAGTTTTGATATTTAAAATCAAATAAGAAATTATGTGACTTTAACATGTTTTGCTTGACTGTTCCAGAAGCCAGTTAAGACTATTTATTGCTCAACTTCAAGTTGAGCAACACAGTTTCCTGTATGATACAGTTTCCTGTGTAATAAATTACTCCAATAATTGTTGCAGTAAACAATGATATTGTTGTTTGGTTTCAAGTAATATATTGATAATGCCATAATAATCCAAGTTCACCCTCTCAAGTACCAATACACTTTCATTTTGAAAAGAAATTTTAACATTGGGACTGGAAGATATTTTACATTTCCAAAATAAAACATAACAAACAATAAATAAAAAGGAAATTAAAAAAACGCATACAAATGAAACCATAAATATAATGAATTATGATGTGTCGGTAAATGAAATTTCCCTTCAAACAAATATTAATTATCACAATGGAAATAATTGAGCTCATTTTAATTATTTATATGATTAATTGATTAATTGCTTATTGCGACAGCCTTACACGTAGGCGCTCTTGTGCCTGCTCCAGACATACCAGCTTGTTGAAAATCTAATTGTCTCTCTACCTGGTCTGCATCTGTACTGAACCATATCTAAATCCCTCCAGTGTCAGCAGAATAATATACTTCACACACACACATATTCAGTTCCAAAGAAGAGTTTGCAGAAAATAAAACACAATGCCAGTCATTCAAGTTGCCTTGTTTATTCAGTGATTATTTACTTTAGTCCTGCTTGGTAAGTTTTCCATTGAAACTTCAACTCACCTGTAGCCCAAAGAAAGCACTTGTTTTGTTGCTTATTTCTTCACAAGAATTAAATAAGTTCACTCCTGTGTTTGCATCCAGATAACTATGATACTGGAAGAAACCAGAGGGGCATACAGTAACACCAGCACCCTGTCATCTGTGTGTTTTTTGTGTGCCTGCCGGGTGCATTGAGGCACTTGACTGGAGCTTGAATGGGGCTTGTGCATACATAAGTGACAGGGCAACTGAAGGCAAATATTGACTTTTGTCCCAGTGTGAATTCTGCCAAACCTCCTATCGTATATCTCGTCTCCCACCGTGCTTGTGTCAACAGTCACATGTTTGATAACTGCCCATCATGCCTGTCATGTCGAAATGGAGTTTAGCCTGAGGGGTTCAGGAAGTTTGAGTGAAGGAATTAAGGGAATAGAGGAGTTAGAGATGGACAAAATGGGTTTTATTCAAATAAGAAATTATTCAACTTCTGTTGCAGAGGCCTTTACTAATAACATTTTTTATAACTATACTGAAATGCAAGCATAAATGTTGCAAGCCATCTTAACTATGCTCAGTTAAAAAAAAAAAAAAAAAAAAACTTTCCACAAGAAAAGCATAAATTACGACAAATTTCTGTTTGTTGTCCCTTTAACCAGAAACTCTGATCACCTCCTAACAGGATTTGTACTCAAAGTTTCCTTCCCTGTCAAGCATGATACATTTTCAATACCAGTTTAAGTAATTATCTATAATAAAATGTAATTGTGTAGTCAGAATTGTAGACAGGAAGTGGTCATGTTTTAATGCACCATCTGGTAACCAGAGAACCTTTTGTCTTTGGAAGTATCAGTGCATCTAGATTAGAGATTGTATTTGTCTGGGTGGAGATCACTAAAGGCATCATAAACGACAAGCAACATGTGCCAGCCTTTTTTGTGACTGGTTCAGAGCACAAAGAGCTCATAAGGTGAACAAACAGTGGATAATCATTTCCTTAGATTTAAACAGCAAAAAAAAAAAACAAAAACAAACAACAAAAAAAAAACAATACATATTCTACAACATTCTGATGAAATTTGGGAAGTAAACTTTTTTTTCTCCAAAAGTTGACATCAATTTAAAAAAAAAGTGAAATGGTTTTATGTTTTGAGTAGAATCAGAAGTACCTCCATGTACAGACTTGTGATATTTTATAGTACCACAATGGTATTTTATTCTGAGTGTTTTAAAAACAACTATATACATTTGATGTGTTATTATTATTATTATTATTATTATTATTATTATTATTATTATTATTATGATGATGATGAACTCTTTTAGCCAAACGGTTCCTCTGCCTGACTTAAAGGATTTGCTCCAGCAACCAATGGGTTTTGATCATGGACAGATCCAGGGATCGGTTTTGGTCACAGTATTGTGTGTGGGGAACCGAGATGCTGCTTGTTTATTGGTATGTGTAGGGTCGATGTATTGTTGGAACTCCTATTTCAAGAGCATGTATTCAGACCAATCCATGATCATTGGAAAGTGATAAATGGGCTTGACACTATGATGCTTGAGCCTCTGAGCTTCCAAGAGTAATATGTCTTGAATTAGGTGCTTGGGGGTCATTGGACAAGTTTGTGTAACCTCTCAATCCCAGAAATCTTCTTAGTGATGTTTGACAACTAATATGTGTAGTGATGCACACAAAATTAAGATTTCACTTTTTAATTCCTTTCTCTTATGTACAGCGTAAGAGAAAGAAATTGACACCTCAGGTGTATCATCTGAAACATCTTCAGCTCTATGAGGGATGTTATGAAAACACCTGTTTCCACTTTGATTGGGAGATTACAGTATCAGTAAAATCACATTATTTGCTGTTTCAGTTGTATTTATTTAGCTGCTGCAATCATTTCCTCGGTGAACATTGTCCCCACATTTTTAAAAAAAAAAGTGTCACAGTGGAAGCAGGCAGGCAGACCTGAATAAACAAACAGACACAATTTAACAACTGGCAAGTTCACAGCAACTTTTTTGACTAAAACATTTGCATTTTGGCAGGCTGTTCTTATACTCGTGTTGTCTTTCATAATGGAAACCTTCAACCGATTAAGTTACGTGAGACTGATTACATTTTAAAATGAAGGTGTCAACAGCACCAGGTGCAACTGAACAAACAGACGTGATAAGCTTATAAGGAAATGCGTATCAAGGGTTTGAGAAGGCCTCCAAACCCAAGCGACAGGAAATAAGAAGCTTATATTGACATAAAAAAGCCACTGGAAAATTCTAAAGTCAAATAAGGAAATAAAAATGAATGGGATTTAAGGTCATTTTAGTTAAGGTAATTTTATTTATATAGCACACATTTTCAGCAACAAGGCAATTCAAAGTGCTTAGTTTAAACAATAGTTTAAATAACTATTTGACGTGTCCTATCAATTAAATAGTAATCAATAAGTTTTCATGTGAGGTATTCTTGATGAGCAAATAACAAAACACACAGGATAATATTTCTGTCTGTAATTGTTCGTTATTAATCCTTATATACCTACTAATTGTTTGGAGCTTGATTCATATTTTGTTTTTATTGGTGTGGTGTTTTCACTTTGGAGGTCCAACATTTATACATTTGCAAAATTCTGTTTCCTCTAACTCTTCCAGTCTATTGGCCTATTCTGACCCAGTCTTCCTAGCTGGAGTTGGAAAAACTCTTATTTTTTAGATCCGATATTTGCCCCATTAATTATTTCTTCGAGCTGTTTTTTATTTTTTTATTAACTGCCAATTTTGTAGTAACTATGTAGTAACTGTTAACCATGAAACTTGTCTTGTTTCCTTGAGTCTGATGTGAGTTTATTTATCCAGCTGCCAAATTATATCATATTTGATTTTTGATTGCTACCAGAAGCAGTGGCTTATAGACTACCACCTCTATGCTTTGGCTCAATTCATATTTAATTTACTTATAATACCACACTTGGTATCCTGATATTCAAAGGTATTCGCTCCTTTCA